TATACACTCGAAAAAAGCATGCCTGTGCCGAAGAGGCTGTTTCGTCGGACTTTCACCGGCTCATCAGGAGGTGTGTGTGTGTGTGTGTGTGTGTGTGCACAGAAGACTCCAACCGCCCTCCCCACCCTGGTAGCCCCACAACCGAAAATAAATCAAGGCCGGATTGGGAATGGGTCCTCTCTGCATGCGCAAAACACCCTTGCCGGCAAAAAAAACAAAAACAAAAACAAAGAAAAGTTAAAAGAAGTTAAAAAAACTGACCGTCCTTTTGCCTCGTTGGGGGCAACCCGGGGTAACGTAACCCCCCGGCGCAACTTTTTTTCTGCCTGGCCGAGAATGGGGAAAGCTGCCCGGGGGGGTATGTCACTCGGGGTTGCCCCCAGCGAGTCAAAAGGACTGTCAGTTTTTTGAACTTTTCTTTGTTTTTGTTTTTGTTTTTGTTTTTTTTGCCGGCAAGGGTCTTTGGCGCACGCAGAGAGGACCCATTCCCAATCCGGCCTCGATTTCTTAACTCCCTCCACTCATTGTGACCCGGCCAGACAATCTAAATCCCACATAGATCTGGATATAATGTCACAAACTTCTGAAGGTGTCTGGCAGTTAGTTGGCAGTGAATATTGCCACACAAAGTCCTTACGCAGGCTTCGGTCACAAACTGTGTGGGCAGTTCTACCCTCCTTTCAAAAGACGCCTCCCTATTAGAAATTTAACACATCACAAGGAATGGAGCAGGACGGACCCCCGCAATACCGCTGCGCCCCTCCTTCGAATTCCCTGACCCCTTCCCGCTCCATGGACTCTCAATGGTGGATCTGCAATGGTACCGAGCAGAATAAATTCATGCAAGGGAAGTAGTCACTGTCAAGCAGCAGCAAGCCTAGCTCTGCTCTACTCCACACAGGGGTGATTAATGCTGGGGGGTCGGGAATGGTCTCTGATTAGAGAGGACAGGGATGGTAAGTGGAAAAAAAAAAAAAAAAAAAAAAATGGGGAGGGAGGGTGACGACATCTGGGACAGGATGGGTAGGGGCAGAGGAGGGAGGGAGCGAGGAACTAGTTCTTAGCAGCAGGTATCTGGCGCCTGATACAGGGCGAAGAGGTTGCCCCCTATTTCTCAATAACCTGCACAGTTAAAGCACCAGTACTTGGGCCATACATCGGCCGCGGGCCTTCCACGTTAACGCGCACGCACTGCATTCTTAGGGGCTCCGGGGAGGGTTGGAAGCGCTATGGGGGAGGAAGGTGGCGGGCCCAGGGAAAACTGCCCAACGGACTCCAGTATGTCCTGATGGATTTCTGTGCATGTGGAAACATGCACGTCGCTGTGTGCAATGCCATAAAAGAAAAAAGAGAAAAGAAACTTGCAAGGACGTGAAATGGAAAAGGACAAAAAAAAA